TCTCTCTTCTCACCTTTTCTTTTTTTAAATGTTTTACACAATTTTATCCCATTTTATTCTGTAAAAATGCACGCAGATTCTAGAACATACTATAATTCTATTTTCTTTTTTTTCAACTGCATTAATAATTTTTTAAAATTATAGTTGACAGGGGCACCTGGGTGGCTCAGTCAGTTGAGCGTCCGACTTCGGCTCAGGTCATGATCTCACAGTTCGTGGGTTCGAGCCCTACATTGGGCTCTGTGCTGACAGCTCAGAGACTGGAGCCTGTTTCGGATTCTGTGTCTCCCTCTCTCTCTGACCCTCCCCTGCTCACGCTGTCTCTCTCTCTCTCTCTCAGAAATAAATAAAACATTAAAAAAAATGAAGGAGAGATCATCTTTAAAAAAATAAGTAAAATAAAATAGAATAAAATTATAGTTGACATACTGAGGAACGTGCGTAGCTCAGTTGATTAAGTGTTCAACTCTTGATTTTAGCTCAGGTCATGATCTCATAGTCATGGGATTGAGCCATGTCAGGCTCTGTGCTGATAGCACACAGGCTTGGAGTTCTCTCTCCTCTCTCTCTCTACCCCTCCCTTGTACACACTTGAACTCTCTCTCTCCAAATAAACAAGCAAACCTTAAAAAATAACAGATAGTTGGGGCGCTTGGGTGGCTCAGTCGGTTGAGCATCTGACTTCGGCTCAGGTCATGATATCACGGTTCGTGGGTTCGAGCCCTGCATCGGGCTCTGTGCTGACAGCTAGCTCAGAGCCTGGAGCCTGCTTCTGATTCTGTGTCTCCCTCTCTCTCTGACCCTCCCCTGCTCATGCTGTCTCCATCCCTTTCTCAAAAATAAATTATTAAAAAAAATAACAGATAGTTGACATACAACGTTATATTAATTTCAGGCGTACAACATGGTGATTCAACACACTAACAGCACTTACTACCTAAGTGTAGTAACCATACAGTTATTGCAGTTATTATTGACCATATTTCCTATGCTGTACTTTTCATCCCCTTGACTAGTTTATATAATTATCTTTCTACCTAAGAAACAATAAACAATCTTTAAAATTGCTTTTCATCAATAAAGGAAAAAAGAATCCAAGTGAAGGAAGAAATCAATGCCTTTTATTGACTTTTAGACTTCAGGAGACTGAAGTGAGATATGACAATAAAAGCATTTTTTACATGTCAGAGATGGCTACCGAGAGGGTTGGGAAATTATACAGCAAGTTTTCTTGGGAAAAACTAGCAAGAAAGGACAAACTTTTTAAATCTTAATTCTTTTTTTTTTTTAATTTTTTTTTTAATGATTTATTTATTTCTAGGAGAGAGAGAGAGACAGTGTGAGCAGGGGAGGGTCAGAAAGAGAGGGAGACACAGACTCTGAAACAGGCTCCAGGCTCTGAGCTGGCAGTCAGCACAGAGCCCAACGCGGGGCTCGAACCCACAAACCGCGAGATCATGACCTAAGCGAAAGTCGGACCCTTAACCGACTAAGCCACCCAGGCGTCCCATAAAATCTTAATTCTTTAAAATGTTAGCAATATATAATTAGTGTCTTACCAGGTATCTACCTTTGGTGTAAGGCATGGTGGTCTGCTTTAAATCTTTCATTTAATAGATAGATACATAGATAGATTTTTACAGCTTAAAACAATAAACACGAACTGTCTCACAGCTCCTGTGGCTCAGGAATCTGAGCACACCTTAGCTGAGCGCCTCTGGCTCAGGGTCTCTCACAAGACTGCAGTCAAGGTGTCTGTCGGGGCTGCTCAAGCAAGAAATTTAATTTTAGAAAACAAAGCTATGGGCAGGCAATTAATCGTGTGTATTTTTAAAGGCTAAAATGTAGAGAGAAAAAGTCAATGATATTTCTATAAATAATTTATAAATGAGTAATTTACCTCACTTATAAAAGTGAAAAGAATATTAAGAATATTTTAAGCAGATTTTTAGTACGAGGTTGCTTCTGAATGAGTAACGCCCATGGGAGAACAGAGACAGATTTTCTGCAATGACTGGTCTTAAAATTCATTTCAACTTGGCTTTAGAATGCAGGGAGTGTCATGTGTCCATATGTAATTAACAACTCCTCATTCTCTCAAACCCACCACAGCATTCCCCTGTTAAAAACCTCTGGAGTCCCCTTCACGTATAGGATAAAGACAAAATACTTAGCTTATCCACCTAGGCCCTGCAGTGGTTGCCTAACTCTGGCCATTCCCTTCTCTTCAGTTTTCTCCTACTCCCTCCCTCCTTCCCCAGATCTCTATGGCTCCATTCCCTGCCTTCCACAAACATCCATCAAGCCTCTTTCCACCTCTAACTTTTGGACAAACACAAGTGGATCCCTCTCTTGGCCATTCTCCCACCTGACCACCCATTTTATCTGTATGACTTACAGTCATCCCTTGGATCTCATCTCAAATATCTCTTCCTCCAAGACATGCTGAGACTGGATCAGGTTTCCCACAGCCCATTACACACTGCTCTTTTCCTTTAGGGTATAATGTAGTTGAAAATCACATATTTGTGTATATTATTTGATTGCTACCTGTCTCCTCAATGGGACCAATTTTCCTAATGGAAGGGTCTATGCCTGTCTGAGTCATTGTTCTCCCACCTTCTCCCAGTACAACCTGGAACATGGTAGCTGATGAAGGTATTCTCATACTCCCGAACAGTTACCTGGTGCCTCCCTGAACTCGTTCTAGGTAATGAAGAAGAAGCAAGTATGGGTAGCCATGAATTAGAGTTTGTTTGGTTTTTTTTAACATGTCCTATAAGAGCACTAAGTGTTTTTTTAAATTTTTTTTTAAATTTATTTCTAGGAGAGAGAGAGAGACAGCGTGAGCAGGGGAGGGTCATAGAGAGAGGGAGTCACAGACTGAAACAGGCTCCAGGCTCTGAGCTGGCAGCACAGAGCCCTACGTGGGGCTCGAACCCACGAACCGCGAGATCATGACCTAAGCGAAAGTTGGATGCTTAACCGACTAAGCCACCCAGGCGCCCCTGAATTAGAGTTTTAAATATAATCTATACAGTTGTCTAATGGGACAGCCTAATAGCTCAAATAGTGACACCTCCTCATTTTCACCATTTCAGCCTATCAGTGGAAAATGTTGGTTGCTTGGATAATATCACTCACTGAAATTACAACTTCTTTGGTCATTCATTGCCTCCAAGACCTAACGCTATTGGCCTTTACACTTTCACTGCAACCAAAGCTAGGAATGAAAAAGAATGTTGGCAGACAGTTCTTATCCAAGGTCCACCTACCAGGACAAGGCATTTAAACCTAATTACTTAGTTCCTACTCTGGCTTCTAGGAAAGATGGGAGGCTGCCTCTTCATAAGAAAGTGCAATGACTTCAGTTTGTATCATCTACTTTTTTGGGTCACACTGGCCATTATTACAGATAATTTCAACCTGGTAACACAAAGACTATCCATTTTCAGTTTTTTTGTGGATATTACCCTTATCAGAAAGAGTTACTTATTGGGGCGCCTGGGTGGCTTAGTCGGTTAAGCGTCTGACTTTCGCTTAGGTCATGATCTCGTGGTTCGTGGGTTCGAGCCCCGCGTCGGGCTCTGTGCTGACTGCCAGCTCAGAGCCTGGAGCCTATTTCGGAGTCTGTGTCTCCCTCTCTCTCTGACCCTCCCTTGCTCACACTGTCTCTCTCTCTCTCCTAGAAATAAATACAAATATTAAAAAAAAAAAAAGTTACTTATTATCAAAGCCACGCTGTTGAAAGTCTGTAGTAGCTAATTATATCCTACTTAGGTTGGGACTCTGAGTGATCTATAATTTTTTTTTTAAGTTGGTTACTTGTCATTCATATACTCATTCACTGAGCACATATTTACTTATGACCATCTTTGTGCCAGGCCTTAAGATCATGAGAGTCTCCCCATAGCCTGAAGAGTCCACAGTCTTATGAAGCAAAAACATCATACTTCCACACAAAAAGAATCAAAGAAAAGAGACATTTTTAGGTCAGAAGATAGAAATGATCTTTAAAAAAAAATAATTGTGATTTGAATAGGAAACATTCTCAAAATGGACTTAGATGATGTGGCACTGTTCTATTCTTATGAGTAAGCAGAAGAGGCACAAAGGTCAGCTTGTTTTACCATAGACACCTATCATGCCTATGAAACTAAAGAATCTTCCCAAGAATCTTTTTAAGAAATGATAGATGTCCTTCTTTCTAGGAAGGACATCTTGCATGTGGTTGTAATTCCAGGGAATCACAGTTAAACCAAGAAAATATTTTTATATGGGTTCCAGAAGTTCTCTACCCCAAAACCAAATGATGACCCAACTTTGGGCTTCCTGTTTGTTTTAGAGACCCCCAAGACCACCCACCTGTTCAGTGACTCACAAGAAGGACCCACAGAACTCAATATCTATTTATACTCACAGCTAAGGATTATTACAGTGAAAGGATGTAAAGCATGATCAGCAAGGAAGGAAGATACAGGTAGCATCCCCTAAAATTCATTTACAGGCTTCCGATGCGCTCTCCCTCCCATGAGCGAACAGACCAACTGTGCTCCTTTCTCAACTAGTGAAAAGTGCAGTGATACACATGCAAGATTTCTGCCCAGAGAAGCTCATTAGAGACACAGCAGTAAGGTTTTCATTGGGGCTGGTTCTATGGACATCCTCTGCCTGACAATTACTAAAGCTCCAGACTTCCTGAATAAAGTAGGTGTTCACCATAAATTATGTCACTTGCACAGTTTAGGCATAGTGAATCACCCTTATCCATTAGGGAATGGAGAGAACCATTAATCCTAGTACTAATTATTATTCATAGTAGCAATATTATGAATACCTATGATTAACATATTGGGTTATTATTTCTATATAATATTCATATTAATCCATTCAGCGGCCATTAACTTTTTTTTAAAGGTTTTAACATGCTGAGATCATGAAAAACTAAGGCGCTTCTGTGTTTGATTCCTTATTTTATTTCTCTTCTTATCTGTTAACAGGACAGACTTTCTGCAGCTTGAAAGGAGCCAACTATGGATTTCAGACGTGTGAAGGACTATTTCTCCTGGCTCTACTATCAATACCAAATCATTAGCTGCTGTGCTGTCTTGGAACCCTGGGAGCGATCCATGTTCAATACGATCTTACTAACCATCTTTGCTATGGTGGTATACACCGCCTATGTATTTATCCCAATCCACATTCGTCTGGCTTGGGAATTTTTCTCCAAAATGTGCGGCTATCACAGTGCAGTTTCTAATTGAGCTTAGTTGCATTCTGTGAATCGTCATTGCGTATGTAAACGTTGCTTACAAGTTACCAATTTACATGAATACCGTGTCTTCTTTCACTATCTGATCTGAAAAGCTCTCTTCTCTATGCACTCTTGTATCTTGCCTGAAATGTGAGATAGGTGTTTCTTTAGGTTCTTTTGTACATTCTGCATTGTGCATCCAACCATGGGTAACACACAGAGACCTTACCTCACAGACTAACCATATTCGTTCAGCTTAAATCTACAACTTCAGATTTTTTTTTAATTGGAAATTTCATATAAAATTTTTTCTGGGAAGCTGGCTCCTAAGAGACCTACCAGAATCCTATTTAAAATGCTCCCTTGATACGTGTTCTGTACTAAAGGGTATATTTTTAAAAATTTGTTCATAAGCTCCTGTCAAAAGTATCCTATCCTTGTTTACAGCATATGAAAAGATATGAATAAATTATATGGGCCCCCTAAAGTCTTATTTTCTAGTAAACTGCTGAAACCTAAAATTCTTGTACTTTGAGTGCAAAAGAATAGGCTGGAGGCAATTATCTCTTTCCAGACATGGTTCATGAATTATTTCAAATGCCTCTAAAAGTCTGGCTTTATAACAGTTTAAAATCAACAATGTTGATTTTAGATAACCCAGTAAGTATTATGATACAAAGATATTAAGTGTAAGGAACAAAATATAATCAAAGTAAATTCAGATGTGACTTGAGATGCTGCCCAGGCCTTGCATGATCTTGAGAGCCAGGGGTGGGGGTGGGGGAGTGAGAGAAAAGAAATTGCTTTCTTTCTGTGATTTCACTCAGTGGAGGGAGGGGGAAAGCACGTATTAGGCTACAGGAAGAAAAGCTAATAAATAGACTGGAAGTAATATTCTACCAGCAGGAACTCGACAGCTCCAGTTAAATGCTTTGATATAGTGGCTCTGTTGCAGAGCAAAAACAAGATTTATTAAATTTCCTCCAAAGTGTTTATCTCAAAAACAAATACAAGTTTTTAATTATACTGCTGAATCAAATGTGAATGCCGAAGGCCAAACCTTACAGTTTTTCTTTCCTTCCAATAAATACTAAGGTTAGTAATTCTGGAGGGTAAAAATGGGAAAAAATATAGTCTTTGGACAATGTTTGCACCTATGTTTGTGTTATGGGGGAAAAAAATTCCCAGGAAGCCTAGAGAGAAAGATGTTTGGCATGCCAAATTAACATGCATGTTTGTTAAAAAAACAAAAATACGTGTTTTGAAGATAAAACCAGATCTGAACATGTACTGTTGATTTTTGCAAAATAAAATTAGGTTTAATTTTGTAAATAAAATATTCACCTCCAGATTTGCTTTTTCCTCATATTGCCCTAAACATCTAGGTGCTTCTGTCCTCATTTGTCCCCAGACTTCCCTTTTCTTACTAATCCATTGTGGCAACCGATCTTAAAACAGTAGGATAAAACTTACATTTATCAAGGGTCTTCTTCATAGTGAACACATTTGATGTGTTGAAGTAGGTATTAAGGTCTCCCAGTTACAGGTAAGGAAAGTGGAACTTGGTAAAGATGCAATTCATGGTTAAGGTCCTGTAGCTACTTGTGGCAAAGCAAGGAAGCAAATCCAGGACCACACGAGGCCCTGAAATATTTGCTACATGCAAGCCCGTGGGAGGATAATGTGAGCAAATGAAAGTTGATGGGACAGGGTCACCAATTTGTCACAAAACAGAACCACATCAATTTAAAGGGGCAAGGGTAACGAGGAGACAGCTGAGGTCAAAGAAACAACGGGCCCCAATCCCAGCTTCCCCTTTGCCGCTTACCCAGGTCCCATGTTCACCCATTTCTATGCTGTCCAGCCCCATATGCATATTTTGAAAGATTGCTTTCACTTTTAAATATTTAACAGAGGATTCTCCGTTAAGCATGAACTTGGACACATTCCCAGTTCACAATGATTCAAAGTCCTTATATACATGGACCCCTGCTAAGTACTCTTGGAATTCAATTACAAAGATACTGCATTGACCTTCTTAAAATCCTCCTTCTAAAAATAAGAGTTAAAATAAATGTGAATAGACACAGTAAAGCTTAATAAAATACATTGCAAAGCACTGCCCCAGAATGTCACTCTGAAGTTAAACATTTCCTGTGAGCAATCAAAACAATAAACACAGGGTCCAACAAAGATACTCAAACAGAGTTTGGTTGAAAACCTATCTGCATGCAGAAGGCAAGAAAGTCCTACCTGTGGTGTCTGCTCTGTCAGTTTTCTAGACGAGGCAGAGATGCTCTTTACATGACTATAGTTAACCTAGTTTACAAACACTTTATATGCTTTTTCTTTTCTTGTGTATGTATATTTCAACCATGGTCACAGAACTTAAAAAAAAAAAATAGCCAAAAGTTTCACAGTTAACATGGGCTTGTGTTTGTCACTCACTAAACTTAGAATCATAACATGTTCATGCACTGATATTGGCCAAGTAAACAATTGCTTTTAACCTACTTATGAAACAACAAAAAAAATGAAATGTTAAGAAATCAGGCAGTTTTAACATTAAGATAATACTGGTCAGTCTTTGTTAGTAACTTGTATGTACAAAAAAACAAAATCACTAGTTCACATTTTCTACTTTTTTTCTTCCATAGTTATCATAGTTAGATTCTCTCACTAGTGGGGCATGTGTCCCCTGGAAGGCAGGAAATTTGTTCTTGTTTCTGAACGGCCAGTGTCTAGCCCAGTGTGTCATACAGAGCATAGCAGATACACCTCTTAGAGAACATCGCATGGTTTCCCAAGTCCTGTATCCACACAGAAACAAGGAAACTCAGCATTTGTACTGGGCCAACCTCAGAATGGACAACTTACATCTATCAACCAAAAGAGTAACACTCATTCATTCGTTTATTTCTTCATTCAACAAATGCATTAAAAGCCAACCAGGAATGGTGAGATGGATAGATATCTGATGAAGAAAGCAGAGTAGAAACTAGGTGGTACGTACTCACATGTTTGTTGTAAAATTCTCTTAACTTTACAGCATGATTGAAAGTTTTTATTAAAAAACCGTTGGAGGACAAGTCTACCACAGTTACTGAGCTTGCCACTAGCAAACAAAGATAAATGAGACAGAAATAGTAACATTTCCAAATTCATGAATCATACAATCTGGTAAGCAAGATGACCCAAGAAAAAAATAAGCAAGCAAAATATTTGCGAGTTGTGGTAAGGTCTTATAAAAGAAACAGCAGAGCGCTAGAGAGAAAGCAGCAGAGGAGCAGGGCGGGTAGAGCACTTGGGGGACCCAGTGAGACTTAATTCCAAACTTCTTTTACTGTGGGAGGTTAAGAAGGGGGACAATGTGGGAAAGAAGTGATCTTCCATTGTAAGATGAGGACACTGGCTGCTGTGAGGGCAGATGGGAAGGGCAGGGGTCAGAGCCGGGCACCCCATGCAGGAGAGACATGGACTAAGGTGGCAGCATCAGAAGCTGAGAGACAGATGGTCTGATTTGACATGTATTTTGGAGCTAGAAAGCCAACATGCCTTGCTTATACGTTGGATCAAAGGAGTGATTCCATAAAATACTCAGGACTTTTTTCTTTAAACATCTAACCTACCCAAAAGAAACCTCCTTCTCATTTTGGTAAAGTTAATTTCCAGAGATGATGAACTATCCTAAGAGAGATTGAAGGAAATCAACTTCATATGCTTTACTATTTTTTCTAGCTTTTAAAGTTTCACTGTATCTCATCAAGAGTCGTATCCTTTTTATTCTTAAGTTTATTTATTTTGAGAGAGAGGAGCAAGCATGAATGGGGAGGGGGCAGAGAGAGAGGGACAGAGAATCTCAGGCAGGCTCCATGCTGTCAGCATGGAGCCCAACACGGGGCTTGATCACACAAACCATGAGATCATGACCTAAGCCGAAGTCGAGAGTCAGATGCTTAAACGATTGAGCCACCTAGGCACACCAAGAATCTTTATACTTCTGATTGGAAGAAGGGACTCCAATTTTCCACCAAGGAACAGAATGTTATTCTCTAGGTACTTTGCATCATCAAAACAGACTAAAACTAAAAAATCAGTAGCATGGTTCCTCCCAGGGATTAAATTATCCCAATACTAATTCTAGAGCTTGAAAGGGTTTTGAAAGCAAACTAGGGCTCGGGTTCTTTTGATTCATCCTGGAATTCTTATGCTGACAACAGTAAAATAAGAGTATTGAGAAGATTTTTTAAAATGTTTTATTTATTTCTGAGAGAGAGAGAGAGAGAGACAGCATGAGCAGGGGAGGGTCAGAGAGAGAGGGAGATACAGAATCTGAAGCAGGCTCCAAGCTCTGAACTGTCAGCACAGAACCCGATGCAGGGCTCGAACTCACGAACCGAGAGATCATGACCCGGGCCAAAGCGGGACACTCAACCAACTGAGCCACCCAGGCGCCCCTAGTATTGAGAAGATTTAATGGCAGTCTTATCAGAGCAGGGCTGACCAATTTTTAATTTTAGTTATTTGGTTAGAAATTTTAAAGAAATAGGGTGCAGAAGGAGTTCCAAAATAAAATTACAGTTGCCTTTACTATGATGGCAAAGCCTATTTCTGTAGCTTTTTCGTGAACAAAATGATGACGTATTCCATTAACAATATTCACACTTCTCATCATTTCCAGATGGAATTCAAAATTCAGATTGCTGCTTTTTTATTATTGTACTTTTATTCCTAAAAGAGGCAACATTTAACCCAGATGCCTGATTGTGGGGGAGGGGAGATTGCAAAATAGACGAGAGAGCCCCCCAGGGCCCACCCTCCCAGCCTCCGCCAGCCACACCCACACAGAGCAGCCAGTAAATTCCCTGTAAGGCACCATCCTGATCTCTAAGGATGCAGGGACTAAGGAGAGCCCCTTGTCACGTAGCTTGGATTCCCACTCAGCAGTGAGACTGCAGAAAGGGACAAGGAGAAAAGAGAGAGAAAGATTGGGGGAGAGGAGAGAAGAAGGTTTAGACTCTTGTTCTTTAAGTTTATGCCGGGAAAGTCTCATTCCAAGCAAAGTGCTATCTTTCTCTTCTGTCCTCATTCCTCAAAGAACTTCCCTGATCTCATATATTTTTTCCTAACATGAGCAATATACAAATGTTTTACATCTTGTTCATATTAATATTTGTTTCTTTTGTTAAAATAATTCTCCTTTTCCCGTGGTTAAAATAAATCTGAATAATCCAGCAATTGATCCTCTCTCCATCCTCCAGTGGGTCGTCTGTCTTCCATCCACTATCGCCTGGCTTCTAAACTTCTCTCTGCTCCACCCCTTTCCAGCCCTACTGTGTCACTATTTTTCAAAGCTCAATAACCTCCTTAGAAAATTAGGGAATGGACTTGGGTCTCTCCAGAGATTCTTCAAATTAAGGTCTACAGTCTATGACATTCTAATGACTCTCAACATTTCAGCTTCTTGAAGCTTCCCCTGGTTATTTTAAAAATTGTTTAATATTTATTTATTTTTTGATAGAGACAGAGTGCGAGCAGGGGGAGGGGCAGAGAGAGGGAGAGACACACAATTTAAAGCAGGCTCCAGGCACCAAGCTGTCGGCACAGAGAGTTTGTGGGGCTCAAACCCACAGACTGTGAGACCATGACCTGAGCCAAAGTCGGACACTTAACCTACTGAGCCACCCAGGCGCCCCATCCCCTGGTTATTGATAGGAACCTCACCTCTCTCTGAAAATCTATGGCCTCTGTAACCCTACCACTAACCATCAATGTTGTGGGGAAAAAGGTAAGATCGTCCATACATAAAAACAAACAAGGAGACAAACACAAAATCCCAAAGAGCAATAGATCAGTCCTGTACCTTAGATTCACTTGAGAAAATCTAGTTGATTGAATGGGTGGTGGGTTTATAGGAGAGGCCTTCCTGGGGGATTCAGAGGGCAGTTTGCATTTCAGTAGCCACCCCTACCACACAGACCTTCCCGTCACTTCCCAGACCTCTTCAGGTCCTCCTGCCTACTCCTACTTGGGGCCCCAGGAAGGTTTCCGTCATTCTCAGCTACCTCCGTTTTCGCCACTGGATGAACACAAAGGACTGGGGATAGTAAGGTCGGCTCTGAGGAGAATCCGAAAAGAGGGAAGTGGTTCATGTACTGGTCTAGCCAATAGATAAAGTGTCCAAAAAATCAGCTGTCAACATAACTTCGGATAGCTTATCTTGTGCACCTTATTGTGTGAAGTCACTACCATCCTCCTAGCTCTGAATTCTATTTCCCTGAGCCAGAGAAAGTAACTGACTCCAAAGGAGAGGGAAAAAGGAAAGTCCATTACCCCCATATGCATATTCCA